TGGGAGCTGAATAACCTACATATTCTGTTTGGGCTGTGCTTTTCAGAAACGGAGCGTTCCGATTCAGCCTCTTAGGAGAGACAGATTGTCCTGCACGATTGTCTTGAGCAAAGCACCTTTCTGGTTTTAATTGGTGTTTTTTTATTGCTGTGATTTACACTGGCAGGGTGAGGGCAGCACCGCTCCTCCGGTGCCTCAGAAAAGTGGGAAGAGGAGGAGGAGGATTGTATTTGGGATTTGGTGAGAAGGGAAGGGCAGCTTGACAGGTAGACATTGAGACATTTGCCAGATCAGTCACCTGCTTTGCCTGTGCTGCTAAAATACAGGAATATCGTCCTGGCAAGCACTGTCAAACTCGGATTCTCCTGTCGCGCTCAGATGCAGTTAATTGCCTAGAACTTTCATGTCGAAGATGAAAACGCTGTAGGTAAGTTTGTAACCACTGGCAATTCCGTTTTCGAAGTCTAAACTGAAGGCTGGGTTTTCAAAGTGTTGAAGAAGTGTTTGCAAGGCGTGTCAATCCATCTTAAACCCTGTGCAGGCAGACCTACCTGATGAGGGCAGGATCTGCTCGTGCTTTTGGGACTTGAGATCCCCCTTTTTGCAGTCGAGTTGTGCCATCGGGTTTGTTTCTCACCCTTCCCCCAGCTGGGCTGTTGAGCAAACCCCCCCTCCAATTTGGGGCCACGAGGGACTGGGGAGACGCTTTGCCACACTTACTGCCCCTTCCTTTAACACCCAAAACGCACTTGGCAGAGCTGCGAGGGGGAGGAGAGAGGGTTTTTTTGTACGTGCCTGGATTTTCTCCTCCGCGAGGAGCCGGGATAAAAACTCAAAGCGGGGGCATCCCACTTCTGCTCCCGCCCAGGCCACGCGTGTCACCGTGTCACGCGTGTCACAGCGTCCTGCTCGCTCTGCGGGACATCAACCTGCACATTTACATCCAGCAGCGCCACCGGGATCGCGCTTTCCAGCTCTGCTTCTCCCGGCACGTCTGGGATGAGCCTGGAGTCAGGGATGAGCTCTCCCCCCGAGGGCAGGGCAGGGCAGGGCAGGGCAGGGCAGGCTCAGCTGCCTGCAATTCCTGCCGAGGGGGTGGTCCCATCCCAGCAATTAAAGGGAATCAGCAGGCATTTGGCGAGCTCCCTGACTCTGCAGATGGCTGTTGGAGGGACGGATTCTTGCTCCCGACCCTGAGGTGTGTCTAGTTTTGGAGCCTGTGGTTTGGGGGAGGTGAACTCAGAAACCACTTTTTTTTTTTTTTTTCTCCAGATCTGGAAAACAAGCTTTTCAAATCTGCAGCACAAATCTTTTGTGCACCGCTGGGGGTATTTCTGAGGACCCGGGTGCTTAAATTCCGTGCTTGCCTTGGGGACTGAAAGGAGGCAACTCCAAACCCAAGTCCTGTGAAGCAGGACTTCTGGGTTGGTGTCGCGTTGGGCTGTTCAGCAGAAACGGGCATAAACAGCCAATTTCAAATGGGTTTGTTTATTGTCGCAGTTCGGGTGTGTTTATGGTACCAGCGCTCATTTTGGTGTT